CTGTCTGCTGCTTTAAGCTCGTAGAAGTTTTGGTGTTTCATTCACGGGGTTTCTTGACATGGTATTTCTTTGCATTCAAAACTGCTCAGTTACCTTAGTTATACTGCTATAAAGCAATATATGATACAAAGAACAGAACTATTATTTCATTAATAAGAAAATAATTGCTGTGTTTCATATTACTCACTATGTATCTAACAAAGATTAATAAGTAAAGCAGTCACTATGTACTAGAATAGCCATGAAAGTACAATCTCGGTGGACATTGAAACATACTGTGATAGATGATTAGACTTTTGTTTCTGGATTTATTTTGTTTATTGTCTCGTTTTTTTGTTTTGTTGATACTTAGAATCTAAAACTACTTCTGATTTTGGAAGAACGCCACAGTGGGTGTCTTGTGCCCTATTTCTCATTAAGGAAGTAGAAAGGGCTGGCTTTCACCTTAAGGAAGCTAAATGAGCATAGACATGTAGCCTAGGCCTACCTAATTAGATGATCTCAACCAAAAATTTGAATCCTAAGGAAATGAAACAGATAATACAGGCAGAATTGAGAAGTTACTCATTGCGGAGTCAATGACACCAAGAGTGCAGTGCGGGGTGACAATGGCAGTGCCCAAATTGGTTCTTTTGCATGAGGTTAGGTTCCAATTTCAGACTCTCTTGATTCTTAATTGCCATCACCTAATGTACCAGCCTTCACCTTCCTGCTGCAATCTACTCAACAGTATTTCTCATGGTCTAATTATGTTTAGGTTTGCCAGATTATTTCTGTTGCTTTCAAAAAAGAACTCTGATTAATGCAGTCAGAAAGGAATAAAGAAATAATAATCATGATTTTTCTCACCTAAGATGACTTCTCATAATAATGAACAAAGATGTAAAATGGTGTGATAGGTCTAGGAAATCTTATGAAACTTCCAGGACTGGAGGTAAACAAAGACATTACATTTCCAGGAGAAAAATGTAATACCTATTGAAATAGAGACAAGAAAAAACTAGCTGAAGGTATAAACAGGAAATAAGGAGAATTCTCTTGCCTGCTACTGCCAAAATATTAATACATGAATAAGTGAATAAATAAATAAACTGATGCTTCTTTTCTAGTAGCAAAATCAACCTCAATGATACTATGGGGTGGGGATTGTTATACAAGATAATTACGAGAAATGACAGGCATTTGGTTTAGTTCACTGCGTTAAAAATCAGTCTTGACAAATACGTAATGAAAAAAATGTGCCTTTTCCCCTTTCATTCTTCTTTGGATTATTTTTCTTTGGACTTTCAGTGATTGATTATTCTATATGCAATACATTTTAAATGTCTATTTACTGTACAAAATCAACTTATGTGCAGCTTTTTTCTCTTCCAGGAACCTATCTATTAAATGAACTGCATATTTCTCTAGTGTTATATTTTAATTAAAAAAACAAATGTGTGCTAATAGTTAAAAAAGAAAAGAAATGCTACAGAGTTAAACTGAAAATTCTTTTTCATTCCCTATCCCTTTGATTATATAGGTGACTACGCACCTATGTCCTTTCAGATATTTCATATAAAATTGATATAAATTGATGTCACCTATTAGTATTAACTTAATAAACACCCATTTATCTTGGAGGCACTTCTAATAAGTACCTATATATACACCAAATTCTTTCATTTAGAAAGCTATTGAATCAAAAACATATGCAAGAAATAGAAAATGAAACCTGGCCATAATTATGGCCTCTCCACATGTGAAAGAAAATGCCAAGATTTAGCATGCAAAAACATTATCTATGTGATAACAAAACAAAACATGTTCTACTTACAAACATGTAGAGAAATAATACATATGTATGTACACACAGCCATTTTGTTAAAAAAAGAATGTGTAAAGGAAAAAGGATATTGACAGTATTATGTCTGTCAACGAAATCTCAATATTCCCTAAAGAATAGCAGTGGATAACCAAGCCCATAAGAGTTACAGGATGGAAATTAGCTGCAATTCCAATTTAGTTTACAGAGACTATTATGCAGTGACTCAGATGAGGATGGTAATGCAATGAGAATATACTTACCCTAATTTATTTACACTGGCACTTATAAAGTAGCCCGTTTTTAACTAAGTGGACATGCATTAATATATTTATAACATTAAATCCCTTCCTTCTCACTCCACACTAGAAAGTCTATTAACAATCCCTATAAAATATGAGAATAGAAAACAATGATTATCTCAATAGATGCAGAAAATGATTTAATCAATTAAATAATTACTATTGTAAAAAATATTTTGGAAATGTATATATATTTCAAAACTCTACATCAAACATTATACTTCATGATAAAACTTCAGCAATATTGGAGTAAAGTCAAGAATGAGAGAAGAATGTTCTCAATACTTGCATTAAACATTGTACTGGAGGTTCTGTTAATAAATAAGAGAAAAATGAATAAATTGTTTAAAAAATATTAAAGAATAGAAAAAATATTATTTACCAGGATATGATTACCAATATAAAATATCCAGAAATGTAACAAAGAAATGAAGCAATCAAACAAATCAGCCGACCTTCTAGAGATGAGACCAATGTACAGAAATCAATGTCCTTTTATGGAACATTAATAATCAATTAGAAAATGCAACTTAAAAACAGACACCTTCAATTTTAGCACAAAAAACCTAGAAGCCTACCAAATGAAAGATGTTCTAAACTTTAGTTAATGAAATTGCAAAGCATTATATATAATTTATGTCCTGTATTACTTGAATAAATATACCATGTTCATGGAGAAGTAGACATTTTCCTGAAATAATCTGTAAATTTAAATCTTAAATTACATTAAGGGCAAATCAAAATGTAAATGGTGAACTCTGCCCCAATGGATATTGGCTGGCTCATCCTAAGATGTATATGAACAATGGAACCATGGATAGCTAAGATAATTATAAGAATAATGATAAGAAGCAGGGGCTTGCAAAAACGTTTGAAAACAGAGTTGAGTGCACAAATGTGAAGTATGTTATTATTTGTCTTTTTCATCTCTAAAATATTTTATAATTACACTTTACAACTTTTAAGAAGAGACCAATTTATGATTTCTGGTTGAAAGCATCTTACAACAAAGGAAAAGACATACAATCATAATGTAAAATAATATTAAATTCAACAAGCATACCCTGGAATATAAAGGTTTAGATCACTAAAAGATACCATTAAAACTAAAAAACCTAGGTCCAGCAGATGGTGTAATGGCTATATTGCTGGACTTCCACATAGTAACTGCAGTTTAAGTCCTTGATCCCGTGGCTTCTTAAAACTTAGGGTGGACACAGGTATGCCCCAAATCCCCAGGAGAATGAAGGAGAAGGGACTGAAGCATGGCCATCCCTCCAGGGAGTGACTTCTTGCTTTCTGTTTCTCTCTGTCTCTCTGGCAAGCAAACGCACCCTATAGGAAAAATCTAAAGAAAAATAAAAAGACTACCACAAATTAAAAGATTTTTTTTTGCAGCATGATCAATAAGAGAGAAGTATTGAAACCATAAAGATGATCTAAAATTAGTTTCCAAAAAATAAACAATTCAATACAATGAGCAAAGAATTAAGAACAGAAACCTTAATGGCCATAGTTGTATAAAAAAAATCCACATTTCCATGAGAAAAGGGAAAAATGCAAATTAAGAGCATTGAAATGCGATTGTCAGGCAAAAGTTTAAGTCTGACAATACCAGATCTTAAGGATAATGATGTTCTACACTAGCTGATGTGAAATGGTTCTTTATATACCTGAACCTCAAAACCTAAATGTATCGGAAAAAAGAAGTTGAAGGGGGAAGTGGAGTAAGACTCATTTATTTACTTAAAATATAAGTATTTTTAGGACATTGTACATGTATAACTATTTCCAAACAAGCAAGGGAATGAGTGATACAAAATTCAGCAATGAAAGGAGATGCTTTTGGAAACCTTCACAGAAGGCTAGGCTTCAAAACAGTTAAGATTCGTAGTAGGTGCGTGGGTATTTTATTATTATTCCTTAAAATGTGTACATATGACATATACTCATAAATATATTTCAAAATTAAAATTTATTTTTAAAAATCCAGTGACATTTTAAGAAAATCTTTAAAAAATTGTTCAAATTAGGAAATTCTAGTCTCTGACAAAACTCTTCGCATGCATCACTAAATTCCAGCTTGTGATTCAGGATTTCCTTGTTACTATGTATCCATAACAAGAGAGAATTCTCTTGACTACTAAGGCTGATGTAAGATAGAAACCTTCAGCGTAAGCTCTACTTCAAAATTTACTTTTCTTTACACCTGCCTTATTCTCAATTATTTCTGTTAAGGTACTGCAGTAAAATGTAATTTTATAGAATACATGTGCAGGTTTACAACGTCATTTTTGTCTACCTCGGACTTCCAAGTCAAGTTCCATTCTCTAAAAAGGCAAAAACACTCCTTTAACATACAAAGTTTGTAAACAAGCAGTGCACTCCAGTTAAAAGTAACTCTGAACGCCTAGCATTAAACTCTCCTCCTATCCCCCCAAAGAACCCTTTGACCTCTATTAGAGCTTCCCGGATGAGCCTTAGAGGGGTCAGTCATCGGTTGCAGAAAACTCAGAGTCCAGCCTGACCCCGACCCACGCTTTTTCTCTACTCGCCTGGCAGGCTCCGAAGTGCACCCTCTGCTCCGAGCCCCCCACGCCCCAGGGAGCCCAGGACTAGTGCCAGGAGGACCCTTGCCCCGCCCCCTCGGCCGGCTCCGTCCTCGCCCCGCCCCCTCGGGGCTTCCGGAACGCCCTGCGCGCGCCTTTTGGGAGGCGGGGCTGTTCGGGCCCGCAGCGAGTGGGCGGTCGGCTTTCTCTGTACTCCTTGCCTCTGCCGAGTCTGCGAACCCTTGGTGGTGGTCAGCGCCCAGGCCCCGGTGAGTAGCTGCCGGGGCAGGGCCCCACGTACGCCGCGGCGGGCGGGCACTTTTTTTCGTGCTGGCCCACCAGCCAATCTGCTCGCCGCTTTCCTGCCGACGCCCTTTGACCTCGCGCCCCTCGGGCGACATCGTGGGCTGCACAGAGATCAGAGCCTCGGGACCCCTAGGCGGCTGATCCTGCCACTCTTAGCCCTGATTTTTGTCTGGGTTAGTTTTATTGCCTTTTTACCCTGCTTTACCCCGACCCCACAGGCCTCGTTTTCGCCTCCTCTTTGGAGCGGACGCTCCTATCGCCGCTGTTGTTCCACCTCTTTCCAGCAAGTTGGGAATTTAGAGACAAAAGAAGCCTTTTTCATCCCTGTCCTTGTACGCTCTGTGTCTAGGCCTTTAGCTGACGCGGATAGTGAAGGGCCAGTGGCTACCGGGCCGGCCCTGGCGGGAAGGTCGCAGTCGCCGGGCTCCCTGCACCTTTGGGCGAGGGGAGAAGCGAGCAGGAAGGCGAGGCCAGCGAGGGGAAGGGTTTCCATGCACCTGCGATCGCGCCGCCACTGTCATAAACTGATGCCCTTCGCTGAGTGTCAGGATGCGTCTGTGCTGGACGAGTGGTGGCGTTTTACCGTTTTCCAAAGGGAAGCTTGACGTACAGGCAGTTAAAACAGTTTGCTTAATTTTATTAGTGCAAGATCCTACGGATAAGTGTTAGGAGAAAATCTTAAAGAGCTTAAAAAATAAGGGAGGATAATGTTATCATGTGAACTTTAAAACAAATAAAATAACGGGACGGGAATGGCTGTTCATAGCAAAGTAAGCATTAGTTCGAAAGAAACGTACAAACTAAAACTAGGTATTGGGGATACTAAGTCATGTTTTCAAGTCCCTTTTCTGACCCCATGTTACTCTGTTCATATTGAACTGAAAAAACAATGGAGGCCTGTAAATTTTGTGGATATTCAGGCCTTACTCATAAACCATGTCTACAGTGGTTGTTATTTACTTGATAAATACGCGTGAACAGAAAGTAAATAGAATAAACCTGCCTTTGGATTGTATGGGCTACAGTTAAGTAGGTAACAGTTAATTGGTTTTTAAGTCTATACTCAAAGAAACTATGGTCACGTGTAAGCAGCTTTCATCCAAGTCACAAAATATTTTCTGTGGTAAATTCTTGAAAGTTGATTTGTCCTGTATCTTGTGGGAAGGCAGACTACCCTGGGGGTAAGAGCCTGGGTTCTAGAACCACTTCTTCTACCCCTTGCTAGTTGCTTAACCTCATACAGATTGCTTAGCCACTTGCTAGCCCAGACTTTAAAGTTACCATTACTGTGCTCAGTTTCATGATCTATTAAATGGTTTTAAAAAGTTCTACTACTTCACAGATTGTTGGGAAGATCAAAATGAAAGAATGAGGTTGTTGTCTAACTGAGTTTCTTTTAACTGGAGGGTGCAATTGTTTACAATAACCCTGACCTGGGCAAGGACACCTTGAGGAAGAAACTGAAGTTCTAGATGTGTGTTCTATTATTAGTTACATTTATCTCAAGTGGTTTCAAACAAAATAAAATTAGAAAAAAACAATGTCGAGGAAAAAAAAGCACCACAGACTGTAATCGAATTGCCTAATAATAATTAAAAGGTACTATTTTGGCTATTCTTAATCACGTGATTATAGCAAATACTTTCTTAAATAGTTGATTTTATACTGTTTCAGGGTCTCTTATATCATTTAATTAGCTGAGAACGTGTAATAACTTTATAACTTTTATTATACCTCTTTAGACCTCCAAGTTAATTATCAAAAGATTAAAAGCATAAGCTTAAAAATATAAATTATTTCAAGACAATCTGTTATGAATAATGTAAACTGTCCTTATAGAGAAAAACACTTCTTTCAATAGCCCATTATTTAAGTAGGTTCTTACTTGGGAACCTATTCATCTGTAATTGTAGTTTCTTCTCTTAGATTGATGTCCGAAAATTTGTTGTTGAAGTTAAATAAGTAGTTCCTTTAATCCTGTGAAAAAGATCCTCAAATGTTTTAGGTATTTCAGGGGTCATTATGGTTTTCTGATGTAGAAGAACATTTTTATTAAAAAGAATTTTTTAAATCATTAGATTGGGACCAGTGGGTGACATAATGGTTATGTCACTGGACTACTATGTATTCGATTGCAGTTTGAGTCCCAGACCTGATGCTTTGAAACTCAATGTGCATGCATGCCCAAAATCCCAAAAGGACAATGGAAGAGAGAGGATTCTGGCATGGCCATCCCCCCTGAGGGTAGTTTCTCACTTTCTGTCTCTTTGTCTCTGTCTCTCTGGTGAGCCCACGTACCCTATAGCAAAAATATTCTATAGGGACCAGCAGTTAGCGTAATGGCTATGTCGCTGAACTCCCACATAGTCGACCACAGTTCGTGTCCTGGACCCAGCAGCTTAAACTCACATGGCGTGCTTGTGTGTATGTGCCCAAGATCCCGAGAGGATAGTGGAAGATAAGGGATTGTGGCATGGCCATCACCCCAGGGGGATGATTTCTCACTTTCTGTGTCTCTCTCTGGCAAGTACACGTGCCCTGTAACAAAAACCTCTCAAAAAAAAAAAAAGATTATTTCTATATGCTGTGTAACTGTTCAGTGTTGACTGAAAGCATATCAGATGCGTATATAGTCAGTAGGTCACTAGAATCTATCTGTACATATACTGCCCAAATATATACACATGTCGAAAACAACAGGACCAGAAGATCAGTTGTTTAAACTGAAAATAGTCACTGACTTTGCGTAAGGTGTATTCGACTCTATTAGAGTATAAAGATAAATACTGCATTTCTGGACCTTAAGAAGTAATCTAGTGGAGATATAAAACATGTAAATAAATAGCATGATGTGTAATACATAATGTCAGAAATACAAATTTAAAAAGTAAATAATACTTTATAGTGCAGAATATGAGAGAGTACTTTTCACTCTGGAATCATTACAAGTATCAGGAAGAGGAGGCAGCATCTCATCTTTGAATTAAATAGAATGAGCATTTAGAATAAAGCGTGCTGATTTTTAATTGCTTTCCAGACACTGATCTTTAATAATCAATGTCATCATCATAAATAATTGGTCATATTTATTTAGTATGAAGCCAGATGTGGTTCTAAGAGTTTTACAATATTAATGCATTTCATCCCCGTAAAATCCTGTGAGTGAGGTAATAACTCATTTTTTAAATGAGAACAAAAGCACAGAAAGGTCAGTCACTTTTATAGGTCAAGTAACTAAAAAATGGCACAACTGGAGTTTGAATTGAGACATTCAAACTGCTGAACTATACTTTTAGTCACAAATGATCTGCCTTTTGATAGGCTGAGATTACTTATTACTAACGCTGAGAAATGGTGGCTGGGTTAGAGCCAGTGGTTCATCTCTGAATACTGAGCTGGTAGATCATGTATAGTGATATGATAACTAAACCTTTTAATGAATGAAGTAATACTGAACAAAAATGGGATCAGCTTAATAAATTACATTTATAGGCAATAGAAAAAACAGGCAGCTTCCATAAACAGACATTTTGTGTTTTGTACTCATGCATAGATCTGGAAAATGAATCTAACAAACATAAACAAAAAAAGGTTCGGCTATTTGTCTCCTATATTTATGTACATTTATTCTTAAATTCTGATAATTTTGATTCCAGAGTGAAAAATAACTCATATGTATTCTACTATTAAATAATCTACTTTTAAAATCTGTATTTCTTACTTTATATATTATACATCATGCAATTTATTTTTATGTGTTTTATATTCCTTACTACATTGTTCCTGAAAGTCCAGAAATGTAGGGACCAGCAGTTAGCATAATGGCTATGTTGCTGGACTCCCACTGGACCCGGTGACTTAAAACTCACACCAGGCACGTGTGCATGCATGCCCAAGATCCCGAGAGGAGAATGGAAGAGAAGGGATTGCGGCGTGGCCATCCCCTCTGGGGGGGTGATTTCTCACTTTCTGTCTCTGTCTCTCTCTGTCTGGCGAGTGCATGCGCCCTATAGCGAAAAAACCTCTCCAAAAAAAAAAAAAAAGGAAGTCCAGAAATGTAGTCTTTATACATTCTAATAGAACCCAACAGTATTGAGCATCTGATTAAGATATTACTCTTGTAGAGTTTGTTTCACAAACATTGTTATGCCTGGTTTGCAGAACAGCTTTGCCAAAAGATGTAGTGAAGTTTACTCAGGATCACACATGTAGGCCAACATGGCTGACTGAACTTAATCTTCAGATTTCAAGATCAAGATTCTCTTCATTATATATCCTGATGCATCTACCAGCTCATCCCTTAGCTGAGTCAATGTCTTACTAATTTCTAAATCAGTAGCTATTTTCTCCATTTTCTACGACTCTTCAACAATCATTACCGCCGATTATTTCTTTATAAGATACCTAACACAGATAAATGTTCCTTATGAAGTATTATGTCCTAATTTTAGAAGATAAGGTAAGGAAATACTAGTGTTTACTTGCCCAAAGGTAATAATTATGTGTGTTTAATTGTATTTCCTTCCTCTGTGTGTAGCTTTAATGTAGTTGGAATGAAATGATGTCCACAGAATTAGTTTTTCTTCTTTATGTCTTCTTTCTTTAAGCTAAAGGGAAGGATTTATCATTATTTCAATAACTTGGAAATGTCAGGGCAACAAATTAAAGAGGCAGGCCAAAGTGGTCATAACCTTCCTTTACTCTCTTATCTAATGCAATGGAATGGCACGTTCCATATATAAAAATGTCACCTGCAGTGCAGCCCTTGAAGGACTTGACTATATGAGTTTGGCACTTCTCAGAAATAAGCAGCTATTATGCTAATAGCTCATGTCCTCTAATTTGTGAGGAGGGCTCTTTTTTTTTTCTTTTAAAATTTTCAATAATTTTACAGAAAGTGATAAAAATAGTACAGTTGAGTAAATTCTCTGTTTCCTACAGACTCTCCAGATTATAATGTTTTAGCATATGTGCTTATTTTATATACCCCCCCACTCACTCATATGTTGTACTGTATATAAGTATACATTATATGTAATACACGTGTATACAGATATATGTGTACATCAATATACATGTCTTATCTGACGTTTCCTCATGATTAGATCTGGATTAATTTGACACAGCTACCACAGCATTGAAGCTGTATCCTTCTCAGACATCTTTTCTGGAGACTCATAATTGTATCTTTTCAAAATTGATGAAGTTAACTTTGTTAACTTGTTTAAGTTGGTGTTTGTTATGTTTCCCTTTGTAATTAATTGAATATTTTCTAGAGAAACACTTTACCAGTATGGAGTTATCCTGTTTATCTTCAAACTTCTCCTCTTTCGTTTAGTATCCACTGGTAATTCTGTACCTGTAACAGTTGTTATTCTGTGTTTTAGTCCTGCTTGTGCTGCTGTAAAAAAATACCGAGAATGGATAACTTTAAAAGAGTTCACATTTATTTCTTAAGAATGTGGGAGGCTCGGAAGTCTGAGATCAGGAAACCAGCATGTTTCGCTATCTGGTGAGGGTTGCACTCTGCTTCTGAGATGACGCTTTTATGCTATGTGGCCTGACAGCAAATTAACTCACCCAAGCCCTTTAAATCAACATTAGTCTATTCATGAGGCTGGAGCATCCTTTAGGTTCCTTCTCCAGTATCACCAACATAGGGATAAGTCTCCAACCTATACATTTTGGGGAATGCATTTGATCATAGCATTCTAGTAGTTGCTAAGTAGTGATATTTTGATACTATCATTCCACTTCAATTTAATAGTTGACAAAATGAGAGACTGTTTCTTATTTCATTTATTTATTTTGATATTAAAAAAATCAGTGGTATGCATAGGTTCTATCCATTATTTAAAGTAAATATTGACAGTTTTTATTTTTGTGTTGGTATTTCTTCCTTCAGATCTGCTGGTATGTTATGTCTTTAGGTGTTCTGATACATTTATAACTATTAATATCTTTCTGTTGAATTGACCTTTTATCATTATGTAATGATCATATTTGTCTTGTGACAGGTTTTGATTTAGACTATTTGTCTCATGAGTATAGCCACCCCTGTTTTCTTCGGTTACTATTTGTAAGGAATAGTTTTTTTCATTTCTTTACTTTCAGGCTATGTGTATACCTCAATCTAAAGTGAAATTCAGTCCATCATACAATTGGGTCTTGTTTTTTTTATCCACTTAGATACTCTATGCTTTTGAGTGAGGGTTTTATTTCATTTCTATTCTGAGAAATTATTGATTGATAAGGAGTTGCTACTGCTAGTTTTTTGTTTTGTTTTGTCCATTGTGTAGTTATTTTGTTCCTGTCTTCATTTCTAAATATCTTGAAGATAAGAACTATGTATTACCAATCAACTTATTTCATGTGACACCTAACATAATTTGTTAGCGTAATACAGCTGTTTAGTTTAACTGAATTATGCATCTTTTACTTCTCATTTTCTAGATTATTTTGGTATTTCAAGCAAAGAAAATGAAATTGTTTGTTCCTAGGAGTATAGATTCAACTATGTGTCACTTTAAAATCAATTGTGTTTATTTTTACAAGAATTCTTTTAGCTTCTGCTTTATTTTATTGATTACACAGTATAGTTTAATGAGTCAAGCTTGTTGGTGTGGTCACAGTGTATTCATGCAACAATACTGTAAAAATATTAGGCCTGTGGCTTGAGGGTTAAGGGGGCTATATCCCATAGTACTGACTGCATAGTTTGAGACCTGGACTTGGTGGCTTGAAAAACACTCCAGGTATGTGTGCATACATGCCCAAAATCCTGAGAGAAATGAAATATGGAGGAGAAATTATTGTGGTGCAACTATTCCCCATGGGTGGTACTTTCTCCTTCTTTCTTTCTCTGACTCTCTACAGTGAGTGCACACGGTCTCTGGCAAACAAACAAACAAAAAAGTATGTGTAAATAAATAAATACATACACACACACAGACATATATATATGTAATAAAATATTTATGGGAGGCTATCCTTAGAAACTTGAAGAGTAGAAAGTGATATTTTGATCGTCTTATTTTCAACATTTAAGGAGGGTATTTGCTATGACACGATTTTTACTAAGCCAATATATTAATATGGCTACTAAATAAAAATTCTAGACCCATGTGCCAATTTCTTTGCTAACAGTCCATTTTCATGGCTTTTTGTTAGAGAAAGAGAAAATTGATATGATGGAATGCAGAGATGGAGAAGAGTTAGGACACCAGGTAGTGTCAAGAGAAGTTTTAACGATCAATATTGTTTCCTCAGTTTTGTTGATTGGGAGGTTTATTATGTGCACATACAGAGACCAGCAGATAGTGTAAAGGTTACTTTGCTGAACTCCCACATAGTTGACCGTGGTTTGGATCCTGGACCCAGCAGCTTAAATTCATACCGGGTACTTATATGTGCGTGCCCAAAACCGTGAGAGGAGAATGGAGGAGAAGGGATTGTGACTTGGCCCTGTCCCCTGGTGGAGGAGGGGGGGTGGTGATTTTTTGCTTTCTGTCTTTGTCTCTCTCTGTCTCTCTGGTGAGTGCATGTGCTCTATACCAAAAATCTCTCTCTAAAAAAATGTGTACATACATGCATTTATATATCTGTACATTTTATATTGTATTATATATATATATATATATATAGTATACATGTATACACACAAATAAATACATGTGCACATACACATGCCATATTTATTTAAATAAATTCAGTACACATTAACAGATGGCATAATGATTATGCCACTGGACCTCCATGTGGCTGACTGTAGTTTGAATCCCAGACCAGTGGCTTGAAAATCATGCAGGGCATGTGTGCATGCATATCCAAGATCCTGGGAGCAGAATCAAGGAGAAGGTATTGCAGCGTAGCCATCTCCCAGTGGGGGATTATTTCTCACTGTTCCTCACTCTCTCCCTCATGAGCACACACACCCCAAGGCAAAAACTTCTTTAAAAAATTTAGTAGATACAAAATCTGTTCAAATATTAAAAATATATTCATTTTTCTTAAATAAAACCCCCAAAAAGTATATCTGACTAAATGTAATTGACATACAAATGGTGATATTTCCAAATCAATACTGCCATTTTTTCTAATCACATAGATTCTTTAACAGACATCAATATTTGATGTTAGTAATTAATATCATAATTACTTTTTTGAAGAATTATTTTATTTAACTTTATTTATTTATTTATTTAATTTGTCCAGAGAGGGACAGTGTGAGAGAAAGAGAGGGAGAAAGAGAGAAAGCAAACCATCAGGTCCAGAACTCAAACTGCACTCGGCAATGTGGGAGTCCAGCACACTTAACCACCATGCCACCTGCTGGCCCCAATAATGTACTTTTGTAACTTTTCAATATAACAAACTTTATGGATTTTAGTTTTTATTTTTACTACATTGGAAAATATTTTGAGGTCACGTACTAATTATCTTTTTCAATAAATTGCAGCAGATCATTCACTATTTTGGAGTTTAAAGTATGTCATCATGGCGAAGTTTCGGAGGAGGACTTGCATCATTTTGTCACTTTTTATTCTATTTATTTTCTCTCTGATGATGGGTTTAAAAGTACTGAGACCAAATACAGCTACATTTGGAGCTCCTTTTGGACTTGACCTTCTTCCAGAGCTACATCAACGAACTATTCACTTGAAGAAAAATTTTGATTTAAAAGAAAGTGACAGAATCAACAGAGAAACAAACACAAAGAGTTCCAAAAGTGTGGAAATCACGATGAAACCTTCCAAAGCCTCTGAACTTAACCTGGAAGAATTACCACCTCTGAATTATTATTTACATGTATTTTATTACAGTTGGTATGGAAATCCACAATTTGATGGTAAATATATTCATTGGGACCATCCCGTCTTGGAACATTGGGACCCTAGAATTGCCAAGAATTATCCACAAGGGAGACACAACCCTCCAGATGACATTGGCGCCAGCTTTTATCCTGAACTTGGAAGTTACAGCTCTCGGGATCCCTCTGTCATAGAAACCCACATGAGACAAATGCGCTCAGCTTCAATTGGTAATTATTTTATGTATGGATGTGATTGTATGTATGTATATGAAAACTTTTTCTAGAACGTTAAATTACTAGGCTTCACATTGTTATTAACTATAATATATTGGTAAACTCATGTGTCCAAGTTAAACCGTATATATTTGTTAAATCCAGGCAAGCACCTTTCAACTCTGCCATGAAAGTATATTTTTTATTTCTAAATATTGAGGGATTTGAGTTCTCTCTTTAAGAATAGAAATCAATTGATGTTTCTCAAAGATTTGCACCTTTTTAAATACAACCTTAGTCAAGAAGTAAAATATTTCTATCATCTAGAATGTTTTATCATGTTTCCCTTATTTAGCCTCATTCCCTTACCCCACCCAGGAACTATGAATCTGATTTCATACAGTGTTTGTTAGTGTTTTGTTACCATATGAGGAGTATCTTCCAGTATGTGTGTTTGTGTGTGTGTGTTTCTTTTACTAATAAGCACAGTATTTTGAGATATACCTATGTTGTTAACTATATCCAATAAATCAGTCATTTGTATGGGCTATCTAATGTTTAGTGTTGTAAGCCAGACTATAAAGACAGGCATTGGGGACCAGCAGATGGTGTAATGGCTACGTCGCTGTACTCCCATGTAGTTGACCACAGTTTGAGTCCTGGACCCAGTGGCTTAAACTCATGCTGGGGGAGTATGCGTGCATGCCCAGGTTTCTTTATTTTGGGGGTTTGGGTGTGGCCATCCCCCATGGGGGATGATTTCTCGCTTTCTAACTCTCTGTTTCTGTCTTTATCTTCCTGGAGAGTGCCTGTGCCCTATAGCAAAAACCTCTCCCTCCAAAACAAAACAAAACAAACAAACGAACAAAAACAAGTATGTTTTTATTTTATTGGGTCATTGGAAAAGTCATGACACATTTTTCCATAGAAAAACATGCCATGACTTTTCTGATGAACCCATATTTATTTTGTAATTGCTCATAAGTTTAAAATGTCCATCTTTAAATTAACTGGTGAGACTTTATTAGTGATTACTGTTGTTCCTACCTCATTTATGTTGTCCATCCTTCCTTTCCATCACTTATTACATATTTTTAGGCTAAGTATATGAAAATACAGAATTTAGAGCCTGAGAAGTCTACAGTGTTGTTAATATACTCTGTAAAACCTTCCTGTTTCAGTTGCATTTGTCTTGTCAAGGCCTGTAGCAGTAGAGCCACAGAAACTCAGGTGTCACATTTTTCTAGCTTTCCATGAAGACATGAACTCACTAAAGAGAAATGCCAGGCTCTTTGAAGAAATCAATGTAGAATTCTGTGAATCTGCATCCAGTGTACAAGATTACTTGTTTTTCTTTTGGAAAATAACTGTTCTTCCAACTATTTATGAAAATTGCACTTTCTGGTATATACTTATAACTCTAGTTTCTGTGTTCTGTCTGGATTATGACAGAAATAGGCTTGGTATTATTACCAAAATAGGCTTGGTAAGTCTAGATACATTTTCTTCTATGTGGTGAGTATGTATGTGTATATCTATATTTACTAATCTACTTTTGAGGGAAGAACCTTTTCTAATATTTTTTCATTGAAAAATTATATTTCAAGTCTTTATCTTTTTTTTTTTTGAATACTGCCTTGTTTTGTCTATCACAAGTTTGATTGGGCTGACCTCATAGTGTAGTTATTCATTGCTCTGCATTGGGAGCCAGATTTCATGACTGACCTTAGTTTGACCCCTGGCCCTTCAACTTGAAAAACACACAGCATATGTATATGCATGCCCCAAATCCTGACAGGATGGAAAAATGGAGGAAGAGGGTGGTGGTGTGATCATACCTTATTGTGGGGGTACTTACTTTCTCTCTCTCTCTCTGGAGAGCACACACAACATCTGGCAATAAAACAAAATTTAAAAACCTTTGCTTGATTGACAAAGAAAGTAATTTGTTTTTGGAAATTTTAATTCTCTTTATACAATTGAATGTAAACAGTGAAAGATTTTTCCTCAGTTATAAATATAATCATTGTATTTACATGTATGTTTATAACATATAAACATAAGTATGTATATTTATAATAAATGTGTAAATGTTATATATAATATATAAATGTCATACTGTATATAATATAGTTTGAATTAGAAAGAGATTTCAATTCACACTTAGCTATGCGCCTAATATTTATAAAAATCTTTTCCCCATGTACTATCTTATTACTACATGCTGAGCATCCCTAATTCAACAATTCAGTATCTAAAATGCTCCAAATCAAAATTTTTGAGCACCAACATGACTCCACAAATGGAAACTTTTAACTCTAGTCACTTAACCTCATGTGACTGTACTTAAAACACTAAAATATAAAAATACTTTATAAAATTATCTTTAGGCTCTAAGATGTATATGAAAAATAAATTTTGTTTTTTAAATTTTCATCTTTAAGATATCTCACTAGGTACATGCAAATATTCCAGAATCTGAAAAAAATCCAAAATCTGAAACACTTCCAATTCCACACATTTCAGATAAGAGATGTTCAGCATTTGTATCATGTATATAAGGATTAATTATTCCTAAGCAGTAACAGTAATAATGTCGATAGTTTCACTGTTGCAAATATGTTACTTGTGGTCAGGGTAGTCAAATCCTAATAGAAGAAGAAGAAAAACAGTAAAAGAGATACAATGTGAAAGGAACTGGACTTGCTGTGTTGTCTTCGAAGACGGGTTAAGGGTTTAAGATAGGTTTAGTTCATGAGCTAAAGTGATGGTGTCTACAAGCCTGAACGACAAAGAAATGAATTCTTTCCTAGAGCCTCCAGAAAGGAATTTAGTGCCCTTATTACTGAACTTAGCCTCTCAAGATCCATGTCAGTGGGGGCCAGCAGGTGGCATGGTGGTTAAGGATCCCAAACTCCCAAATGGCGAACCGCAGTACAAGTCCTGGATCTGGCATCTTGGTTTCTCACTTTTTCTCTCTTTGTCTCTCTCTCTCTCTCTTTCTCTCTCGCTGTGTCCCTCTCTGGTCAGATTTTTAATATGACTTTTTTTTTAAATCTTAAGTTAAATTGCTGTGTGAAGTAATTATACTGTTATATCACAGTATACAAATTGATTTCCTGCTTTTACAATTAGAAGTGCTGTGAGAATAAATTCTAATCATCCAACTTTTCTGTTGAAAAGAATGATAAATATTGGTATTAGTATTATGTTTAAAATTCAGTTATTGTTATATCAGCTATATTATAATAACATTATGATAGGTTTGTGTTCAAGTCTTTTAAGCAAAGGATCACTCATACTTTCTATTCCTTGTAGATAACTTAGCCTTATCATTGTAAGTTGTCAAATGGATACCTTTATATTTTTCATATATCAATAGTTTTCTAAATCCTCAGTGGGATAGTCAGACTAATGGTACCCAAAATGTCCACATCCTAATCCCCAGAATCTGTGACTATATTCATTTATAAAGCAAAGGAAATTTGGGTTGTAGATATCAAAGGCTGCTAAACTGACCATGAGATGGCGTTGTCCTGCATTATTTTGGTCAGGGTAGTCAAATCCGAATAGAAGAAGAAGAAAAAACAGTAAAAGAGATACAATGTGAAAGGAACTGGACTTGCTGTGTTGTCTTCGAAGACGGGTTAAGGGTTTAAGATAGGTTTAGTTCATGAGCTGAAGTGATGGTGTCTACAAGCTTGAACGACAAAGAAATTAATTCTTTCCTAGAGCCTCCAGAAAGGAATTTAGTGCCCTTATTACTGAACTTAGCCTCTCAAGATCCATGTCAGTGGGGGCCAGCAGGTGGCATGGTGGTTAAGGATCCCAAACTCCCAAATGGCGAACCGCAGTACAAGTCCTGGATCTGGCATCTTGGTTTCTCACTTTTTCTCTCTTTGTCTCTCTCTCTCTCTCTTTCTCTCTCGCTGTGTCCCTCTCTGGTCAGATTTTTAATATACATGCATACATACATGAAGTTAAATAAAATAATTCCTTTAAAAAAAGCTACATGTCACCTACAAAACTGTAAGGTAAAGTTATATTGTTTTAAACACTAAATTTGTGATAATTAGTTATGGCAAAAATAGAAAAGAATCCTTAGCAAAGCATAATATTTTTTTTCTGTCCTTCAGTTTAACACTAAATATTTATTGACTTTTCACCGTGTTCCAATCTTGTAATAGATTCTGTGGACATTTAGATGAATTAGTCAAATACCCTGGTCTTTCCTTTGGTTTCATTGTAGTTATTTCAAAACTATTAAAAAAAATCAACATTATGTATGTTTACTTTTCTGAATGTTACCTGAAAGCAAATAATACCTGGTTTTGTAAGTTCCCAATTCTTTTTCTGTATCTCCTGCATTCAACATGTATATGCAAAAGTAGGACAGATAGAGGTTAAAGTAACTTAGAAAAATAAACTAGATTTTTAAGGTTTAAATGTACCTATTAATATTTAACATGATCTCATAAATTTTGCCTTAACGTAACTGTTTCATTAAGTTTAAATTTATATCTGTGGTAGTATTCCATATAGCTTTTATATTGCCTTAGTTGTTTTACTATGTGAGTCTATTGATTACTTCATATCTTGGCACTTTATTTTTCTTTTTCTTTCCTGCTTTTTTATGTTCCTTGCAATTGTGTTTCCTTGAAATCATGTCATCTTGTAAAAGGTTGTAGACACTCTGATAAGCAGTTTCTATCAGTGGAACATGGACATGCCTTTCTTACTACTCAAGTGTAGACATTCAGTTTTTCCAGCTTTATTTGTTAAGAAAACTATCTGCTTCCATCAAGTTGATCTTCCACCTTTATAAGAAATCAGATAACTATATTTGTTTGGATTTATTGATACTTAAAGACTCCAGGATGATTCATTGATCCTTTTTGCCTGTACAATCTCCAGTACTAGCCTATCCTGATTATTGTAGCTCTTTAATAGGTCTTGAAATGAAAAGCTTTTTCCTGTTCAAAATTGCTTTGCTTTGACTATTTTAATTAATCTGT